TGTATGTCAAATTCGACGGAATTATTATTATTATTTTGGAATAAAACAATACAATCACAAGAGGCATTAAATGTTGTAGTTTGTCTAAAGTTAACTACCGTTTCCTTGGTGGCTTTCTGCATCCACCTTGTTGTTCCTTTGTGGGGGTCGGGGTGCCCACTTGTGCAGCAGGATTAGGGAAGTCGGCAGTAGGCTTTCCATTAACAAAATGCTACAAAGATTAAAGCAAAATATAAATGAATGATTGCCTGTTGGCTTCCTTGTTTGTACTTTGACCACAGGTAGACTAATAACGGAGCTCAGCTGTTCAGACATTATTATGCATCAAGTGATATACATGGTCAAAACGACCGAGAAGCACACAGCTTACAGCTGTAGTCGTGTGACTTTAGCTAACGTTAGTTAGTGAAATTAGTTAATTAAATTAGTTAGTTAATTTGTGAATGTAATCTTTGCTAGCTAGCTAGCTACGTTAGCACGTATTTACCTTGGAGCAAACGTATTTGTGTTTGTTGATATTCGCCATATTCAGCTGGGCATGGGGCCTGCCGCATTTCTTTATCCACTGGCGGCATCTGTCCTCTCGGGTTTTGGGTTTAGGAAACGGGTAAAATATCGCTTATAGCCTATATAGACATCTAAGTTTTTTGTGCCCCACCACTTTTGTACATATAAAAACGCCACTGGCAATAACAATAAAGTTGAATCTAATCTTGAGCAGGAACAAATGTATTTACTTAGTACATATCTGACATTAACGATTAAACACATTTCTGAGACCTCCCCCGGCTGCAATCGGCTATTCTCGTCTACTTTCGAGGCGAGCCGCAGCTCATCTCAAACAAGCCTATTGATTACACATGGACCTGCAGAAGAATTAAAGAAAACATTACTCTTTCTCCCTTCGCTATGGAATTGATGGAACTTTTAATATGCTTCAAATGCATTTGTATTGCATTTATTTATTCTGTATGCTTATACTTTTTCACAATCTATAACTTTGATACTTTTTGTTTTCACCCAGTAGGCCTACTTGTCTTGGTACTAAAACTAGTACTGAGATTATGTCCGTGTTCCCACTGCGGTCAAGCCAGCCTCCACTAGGGAAAACCTAGTCAAGCCAGCCCACACGTGATATTGCGGTGCGCGCTGGAGGCTGGCTTGACCGCAGTGTGTTCCCTCTGCTTATTTTACACAGACAATTTTTAATTCTAATGGTTTCCCTAATGTAGGGTATTGGATATGTCTGACAAAACTGAGATTACTGCTGCTAGAATTGTGTTTAAAAGCTAAACACACCATCTTCAACCCTCCTTCCAATATCACTGTAACTATAGTGTACTGCTCTAAGGGTATATTTCTGATGAGCATGGCTGCACGATATTGGAAAAAACTGACATTGCGATTTTTTGTCCCCCTGCGATATATATTGCGATATTAAAACATACAGGAATTGACTATACAATTGGTATTTTTTTTAACTATATTTAACCGGATGAAGGATTTTAGTCACGGACGTCTGGATCTTAAGTTATCAGAGCAACAAGCTGAGCTAGCTCGGTTAGCAGCACCCAACTGCCCTGGAGAAACACATGAAACTACTTTATTCAGTGTTTACCTTTAATCACCGGGTCCGTTTTGTGGTCATTTTAGTAACCGTTTACAGTTTACAAAATGTCAGCTCCATCTACAAATTACTACTCCGATTAAAAACTCATGCACTCTGATCCGAAACTATGACACTTCAAACTCACCACCTTTTTTACCGTTATCACTTGTTTTTAAACGCAACCTTAATGCTGATGGGGAAAACTGATCTGAAACAAAGGAGGTACACACAGGAGTGATGCTTCATTATTTGGTCAACAGAGTACTGGAGATATTCTGCTGCACAGTTTATTTAACAATATGGTATATAAGTAAGAAATGAGTCTTTAACCAGTTTATACAGTGATTTAATCTCTCTTCCTTATATTTATAGTATTTTGCTTAACTTGATTTACAATAGGAGAAAAAGTAAATCCCCCCAATTCAAGTTTTAGTGAGAGGAATGAGTTGATGAAATATTCCTCAGGGTGAATCTCAAACGTGCCTTTCATCTCTATCGCACACAGCTTAGTGTAACATTTAGAGGATGTGGCTCCGTCAGAGATGTGTCCGACAAACAACCAGTGATCATTCCACCTCAGCTTAGGGGGCTGGTCTCTTTCTCACTCTTTTTACACTTTACAACATTTGTATGACAAAAAGTATGACAAATTTTTTTTTTAATGTCAAAGCAACAATGTTCCACACCAGCAACACAACGTTTTCCCATTTCCAGGCAACTGAGATGTAGGTTGCAGTCCTTGTTTTCTGTGTTTGTGAAACCAGCTGAAGTTATTTCGGTGACAGTGAGGGTTTGTGTGACTGTCTTCATGTGCGCCCGTGTACATGCCCGTGTATAAACAACCGCCGCAGTCCATTTCCTATTTCAATACAACTGAGTGCTCTTCATACACACAACGAGGAGGGGAGTGGTCCCTGAACGCATCGTTTCGGAGTAATCGTACAACACTAGATTACAATTGCCAGGAATAACAGCTTGAGAAAAGAACGAAAACCTGGCCCAAATTCCCAGACAAATTATTTTACAGTTTCAACACAACAATTATTTAAGTTTATTTTCCAAAGGTACAAAATAAAAAGATATGAATAATATAATGCAATTGTACATTTTCTTTTTAAAAAAGAAAGGAGAAAGGCATGAAAACATACCAAAAACAAACAAAAAATAAATTGAGTATTGAACACATTTGGTCTCAACCAAAAAATATATTCTTTGTGATTTAAATTCCATTTGAGAAGCAACTTTTAGGAAACAATTACATTCCCTCGAAGTTTTAGCTTTTTTTTGTTATTTTTTTCCTCGACCAAATTTCTTTTTTTACAACAGTTGAAACTTTTTACATGTCAGTACAAAAAAATGCTCTCAACCTTAGAAAGAACGTCAAAGCCCTCCATCGGATAAAGAGTCCAAGGAAAAATAGAGTGGGGATGGAGATTGTGTTTTTTTTTAGTTCCGAGCAAAAATGCTACAATCCCTCCACAAACTTCTCCAGAGTGTCCCCTGTAGCGTCTCCCGCCAAACCCAAGTCACTATTCAGCCCCCCTCTGTTGGGCGTGTTAAGCTGCGGGAGCATAGCGCTTTGTTCTGGTGTCCCCATGTGTCCTTGCTCCAGGGACCCTGAGAGCGGGCCCCCTAGTCCCGGGTGGGGGGAACCAGAGTGGGCTGGGCGCGGGTGCTGGGGCGAGGGCTGGGGCTGGACCTGCGGGGAGGGGCTGGAATGTGGCCGCGGCTGCTGGGGCTGCTGCTGCGAGGGCGGACAGGGGGACTGGACCGGGGCGGGGGAGCGGACCTGGTTGTTGAGGACGTTTACTAGTGTGGGCTGTCCGGGGAGGTGGGCTCCACCCTGGGGCTGGCCAGCCAGCAGGTGGGTCTGTGGGCTCATGGGACCGGGCTGTGCAGGAGAGCCCATCTGCTGCTTGAGGAGGGCCTGTTGCTGCTGCTGCTGCTGCTGTTGGAGCATTCTCTGATGCAGTAAGGCCTTGGTGGAGTCCATCACCATGCCGGGCTGGGCCATCTGAGCCATGGGGGGAAGTGGTCCCATGGGCCCCCCGGCGGCTCCTGCATTGGCCTGCATGGCTATCTGCTGCTGCTGCATGCGGAGCTGGGAGTATGTTGCTGCCGTGCCCTGCGTCTGAGCCGGGAACTGGCCTGGATGGCCCTGAGGGATCACCCCCTGCTGTTGTTGTTGTTGTTGCTGTTGTTGTTGTCTTAAAAGCTGCCGACGGTAGAGCTCCTGGATCTGTGGGTTGGTGTGCGCTGCGTTGATCATCCCTTGGGCCCCTAATGCAGCCAAGCCCTGTGCAGGGGGCTGCTGCGGCTGCTGGGGGGGCATCGCCGGCCTCTGGACTGCCCCCCCTGGCAGGGCCATGGTCTGCATCCCTGGCATGCCTGGTTGCTGCGGCTGCTGACCCGCCTGCTGCGGTTGCTGCGGCTGGTTGGCGTGGTACTTGGCTGTTCGCTGTTTGATGAAAGCAGCCATCAGCTGAGGGTTTGATTTGAGGATGTTGAGAACCTGCTGCTGCTGCTGGGGGGAGCTCGGAGACTTGAGCGTGCGGAGCAGGTCCTGCAGGGCGTTTGGTGCGATGGCTCCCGGTCTCTGGGGCGTTTGTAGCCGAGCACCAGGCTGCTGGGGAATCATCATCCTCTGTCCCAGCTGCTGCCCTGGGACCATCAGGCCTCGCTGCATGCTCAGGGCCTGCTGCGGCGCCTGGCCTGGGACCAGGCCCACTTGTTGGTTCTGAACCGCCTGCATCGGCCCCGCGGCTCCTGACCACTGACCTTGTATGCCGGGCTGCATGACCTGGGATCCGCGGGGGCCCGGCACCATCTGCATGGGCGGCTGCATCGGCCCGGGCATGCGCTGCTGAGGCTGCTGGGGGTTCATGGTTAAGCCGTTCATGTTGACCCGGTAGTTCTGCTGGTTCTGCTGCTGGGCCTGTGCCATCATCTCGATGTGCCGCGCCATCTTGACTGCAGCGAGGGGCGGCTGCTGCTGGAGCTGCTGAGGGAGCGGGGGCTGGGGGAGAGGGGACTGCTGCTGGTGCAGGGGGGAAACCTGGGGCCCGGGCTTGCCCTGGGACACCGGTGCTTGAGACTGCCCGTTGCGAGGAACGTTGGGAAAAGTTGGGGACATGACGCCTGCCGAGTTGGGGGTCTGCGGCTGGTTGGAAAGCGGCTGCTGAGGGGTCTGAGGTGTGTTGGGCTGGGTGTGGGCACTGGGAGTGCTGGGGGCAGCAGAGGCCGGGGGGGACGGTAGCGGCATGGTTCTGCCTTGCATGGAGGCCATTCTCCGCCTCATGAGCTGCGCCTGCTGCAGGCGGTGCTGCAGCTGCTGCTGGCGGAGCTTGTGCTTGATGTTCAGGCAGAACGGGACGGGACACTTGTTCTCCTGACAGTGCTTTGCGTGGTAACAGCACAGAGCGATGAGCTGCTTGCATACGGGGCAGCCCCCGTTGGTTTTGCGCTTGCAGCCCTTGGTGTGCTGCACCACTCGCTTCATCTTCTGGCAGGACGGCAGAGAGCAGTTGGCGTTGCGACACTGACATGCGTGGACCAGGGACTGGATGCAGCGCTGGATGCTGAGGCGCCGGCTCTCCTGCGGGCTCTTGGAGGCCTCTCCACTCTGGCCGCTGCCGTCGTCGTCCAGGCCGAGGCCCCATTTCACCATTTGGTGCTCGTGGCCCTTCACGTTGTAGCAATTAATACATAGATCAAAGTCCTGCAGGGGGGAAAGGAGCATTGTCAGTCGAAAAGTACGAGTAAACTTGAACAACCTTCTCACAGATCCAAACAGTAGAGTGCTGTAACTGTAATTGTGTGATATTATCAAGGATAAAGTTTCGAGCTGCTCCATAGAAATATTTTTACTGAACTGAAAAAAAATATTGGGTATAAAAAATAAAACAAAAAAGGGACTCCTATTACCAGAGAGTAGCTAATGTTCACAAATATTTGAACTTTCCTCATTCATGGAAATACATTTTGGAATTCTTAATTTAGAAGGTGGTTATTAGTACTCAATGAGGAACATAAATACTGTTCTTGATTTATCCTCATCTAAGTCAATCCAGTGGAAAAACTCATCAGAGCGTGCTAATGGCATATCTTTCAGTAGTCACTCACCTCGCACACAGTGCAATGCCAGCGTGTCTCCACGTGGTGTTTGCACTCGTTGCAGGTGTAGACAAAGCGGTCCTGGCCCTGGTTGTGCAGCTCCACCAGCATGCACATGGTGCTCCACTTGCACCTCCGGAGGGAGCTGAACTCCCAGTGTTTGTCCCGGGCCAGAGTCAGGAAGGCATCGCGGCCGTCCATCAGGTCACAGGAGAGCATGGGGTCGGGGTCCACGATGGGCGGCAGGGTGTTGGCCATGGGAGCGGAGTGGAGGTGGATCACAAAGAACACCTTCAGCAGTCGGGGAAAAGAAATATAGATCTAAGAGTTAAAGAAGCACAAGCTAAACTCTAACTGCTATCACTACACTGAGGGGGGAGTATCATGAAATCCAATAGTAATGACAAACCATTGCCTTTTATAACAATCTAATAAACAAATGTTAATAATGGCTTCAATGGCTTAAATACAAATACAAAATCAAAACAAGTCTGACCTCCTTGTGCTTCTCCAAGGTGGCGTAAAGCTTCTGGGACAGATCATTGGCTACATTCGGTATCCCAGTCTTCTTCTTATTGGCTCGGCTCACGCTGCTCTTGTTTTTATTGGTCTTCTTGTTGTTCTTCTTCTTAGCGTTTTTGCTGTCGGTTGGCGTACCCTGTGGGAAAGATACAACAGATCATTTGTTTTAAAAGAAGTAACAAATGATCACATATCCTCCATCTTTAATATTCCATGTGTTAACCATGTTAATAAAGAAATGTTAGGGTTATAAAAGCTGTGGAGTGCAAAACAGCTCTCAAAGATCCAAAACCATGAAGTTGTACATTTTAGGGATGTTAAGATTCGCATCGGTGCACCGGCATAAACGTTCAAAATGGGAGTGCACCGGTTGAAGAGGTGCACATTGGCTACAGTTTAGGTTGAACTTGCGATGCATCGATTGTTATGATAGAGCTGTTTGTGAAAGGTTATTTGTATTCTTTATTGTTCAAATAGAAACCAGTGCTTTCTGCTCACTGGTGAGTTAGCCTATGAATGAGTGTTAAGCACATCAGGCAGGCAGCTGTTTGGGCATTGCACTATGGTAGTTGTTATTTGCACATTGTTAATCATGGGCAGTGTTTCCGCCAGACCACGGCTGAGAGGGCGTCCACCCCGAGAGCCGTCCCTTATAGATACTGTATTTTATTTTTACATTAGTGAGCCGGATCATTTGGCTCGGCTCTGTTAAAGCGCCGGCTCTTTCGGCTCCCAAACGGCTCTTCATGTTACCACAGTTTACCACAGAGCCTCAGTTTCGCCGCTGCGAGGCTCCGGTGTTCACACGCGTGCTCCACTAAACCCCCCCGTTCATCGCGTCCAAATCGCGCACGTTCCGTGTTGTCCTGTAGCACCTTCGACGTCGGGGAAACAATCTTCAATACTCCGAAAATAATCCCACCAGACTCCTTTGCCCCCTCCAACACTCCAACACTATTAATATTTTTGGACGCCCTCGGCTCGCGTTCAGGGCGTCCCGAGCTGAATAAGGGCGTCAAATGACGACAAGACAGCCCCCTGGCGGAAACGCTGATCATGGGCAATGCATCCTTAAATTGTTTAACTGTGAGGTTTTATAACATTGCACTGTACTCTGGAGAGAGAATACTACACTTGTGAAAAGGCCAGTTTGTGAAAGGTCCAGGTGTTGTTTTTTTAAGGTAAAAAATAAACAGCATGATGGGATGCGCAGTACTAGTAGAGAGAACCAAATATGTAAAGCACTTTGTTAATTTATGATTTGCTGCATAAGGAATAAAAAAAGATCCTCTGTTTTACCATATTGAATTGTATCATTATTTTGCATGTGTTGAATCGCATTGTATCTCCCCGAATCGCATAATGTTGAATCAAATCGTATTGAACTGTATTGCAACAGGGGTGAATCGTATCACATCGCCTGGTGTTTCAAATGTATCGTTAATGTATCGTAGGCAACGTAT